CGGCCGCGGCGATCGATAGAGGCACGTGCGTTGGCGAGGAGGGTGGTGGTGGATTTCGTAGCGGACGTGGAAGTGATGACAACCGTGGTGGTGGTTGTCGCGTCAGCAAGCGCAGAAGGGGCGGCGGTGACGACAGGGACGGTGGTAGTTTTACGACTGCTATGGTGTCTTCGGAATGCCCTCTCCTTGCTACCGGGGTGAGTGCGCGCGTGCGTGATATTTGTCTTGTTTTTGGCACCGACCGCCCAAACGGGGTGGCCGATCGTGTGACGCCATTTTTCGTGGGACAAACGATATGGAGGTGCTATAATAGTGCGTGAGCTCTTCAGATTTCTTGCAGGAGGTGTCCAGCTGAGCTCCCTAAGCACGCACGTCCACGGCCGGTTTCAATGCTTCAACGCCCAAACAGGAACACCCAAATACGTGGCATGTGCGTGTTGGCACAATACTTGGGAGAGCTTTGAAAGTGTTCAGCAGACGTGCGGAAGAACCACCCCCCTCCTCCTAATCGAAAGAGACCCAATGGCCAGCCATCAAGATCCTCCCACGGGCAAACACCGTTAACGATCCCGTACGTGCTCTTGGTAATGCGGATCGTCCGTTCCGATTGACTCCAGATTTGGGAGGCGATCCTCGTGGAGGTGCTGGACCGCGTGCTCCCCTTAGCAGGGCGACACTGCGAGACGGAGACAGAAGCACACAGGGCGAGGGTCGCTTTCGCCGAGCGGGTGGTTGGTGTGCTGGGGTTGCGTCGCAGCAGCCTTGTGACCCTGCCTGGTGAATCATGAGCGAGGCTCTATCCTTGCGCAGGAGGACCTTCACATGCGTCCCGTACGTATGGATGCCTCCGTACCTATGTCCTGTAGCCTTTTCGAAACGGCGCCTGTGACATCAACCTTGGACAAGCGTTTTTACATTTGTTTCGGCCGTAGCACGCACCTTCACGCCGAATAATTGATTTGGTTTCGCTCCTACCGCCGCTTGGTCGCATTCCCTTTGAGTCAAAGCTGCATGGTCTGCAAGGTTCCAGTAAGCGTCACGGCTTTTGCGGAGTAGGATAAGACCTTGGTGGGATTAGGATGTGCAAGGTTTAATCTCGTTTGGAGGCATTTTTGGAGTCCCACCGTGGAAGGCTCGTGTGATAAATATTATATATATATATATTTTGGCTCGATTTCTTTACTCCTGGGTTCTCAAGTACGGGCGCGTTCTGTATGCCCTGTGAAGGACACACTTTCCACGCTGTTCTGCCCTTCCCTTCGCGGTCAACTTGTCAACGGGCGTATGGCTACAAACGTCACCGAACACGATGCGGCAGCAGCAGTATTTAGTGGTGGTTTCCACAGAGAGAGATGGCGCAATACGATTCTTGCTTGTAGTGTGCTGCCATGCTTCTCCCCTGTCAGTTTCATCGCCCTCGCATGTTGTCTTGCACCATTTCGAAATCTTTGAGAATATTTCGCCGAAGATTTCCTTCCCAAAAAGTGAAACGAAATCTTTATCCGCAAGTGTTTGAAAATTTACATATTCGACCACTGTTTATGGCGAAAAAAATCTTGATCTTCCTTTCTTTGGACAAATATTGACTTTTTCGACCTTGTGGGCAGCCTGCCTCCCGAACGAATGCGAATCAGCTGTTCGACCTTGGAGCAGAGTCACAGCTTTGGCTAAGATGTCTACAGATCGCCTACATGTTTCGCCAGGGTCCACGTTTGATTTTTTTCCAGCAGAGTTAGAGCAAGATGTTGAAGATTCGGCCGAAAGGCCACCTCGGAGCACATCTGGGGCCAAGATCTGTCTAAAAGCTGGTGTTGGAAAAATCTTGCGTGAAAATCGCGCACCTTGAAAAATCAAACCTGGGCCCTGGCGAAACATGTAGGCGATCTGTACACATCTTAGCCAAAGCTGTGACTGTTCTCAAAGGTCGAACAGCTGTTTCGCATTCGTTCGGGAGGCAGACTGCCCACAAGGTCGAAAAAGCCAACATTTGTCCAAAGAAAGGAAGATCAAGATTTTTTTGTCATAAACAGTGGTCTTGGTGCAAAGATTCGGTGACCATAAACATGGGCCTTAGCACCGTTGACGATGGAAAGGGACGGCTGGACCATTCTCGCGATAAAAATAAAATTCAGCACGCAGCGCAGGAGGAAGGTGGGGCATGAAAAGAAATAAAAAGCAGAGAAAAAAAGCCCCGGTGTTTACCCCCTCCTGTGTGACCCTGGATGGTTGTAGTTGTACGAAAAAAATACACTGAAAAAAAAGTGTAATACTCAGGCCCATGTTTATGGTCACCAAATCTTTGAAAAAAATCTTCAAAAGTTTCCAAACATTTGCGTGCGAATATTTGTCAGAGGAAGATTCGAGTACCGCTGTTATGTTGTTGTTGTTGTTGTCTTCACAATTAAAAACCATCCCGGTCTCTCTATCCAGTACCTCCTTCTGTCTCAATCTCTCCGTACTAATCCATCACTTGACTCGGCCAATTTCCGTGGTCACAGGCTAACGTACCTAGAAAAGGTATACCAAAATAAAATGGACCCCAAGGGTCAGCAGAGCGATAAAATACAAGANAGATTCGAGTACCGCTGTTATGTTGTTGTTGTTGTTGTCTTCACAATTAAAAACCATCCCGGTCTCTCTATCCAGTACCTCCTTCTGTCTCAATCT